ATATTGAATGTATCCTCCTGACTTTCATCTTCACAATCTAGCATCATGGCACAATCGTTGTTTAAACACCGTTTTTTTCAAAGAATTCTTCGTTCTCATTCTTTTGGTTGTTTCGGAATTTGTCACGTCATCAGCGTTTTTCGATTGTAGTTTCGTAACTCATTTTAAATGCTTTCTTCTGTGACTGGTTAGATATACGTCTGTGCACTTGCACAATATTCCGGGGACCGAAAATAACAGTTATTTTTTCCGAGTTAAATTTGGCCTAATATTTTTTATTCCAAAATAAACGTCCTATCCGGATAATAAAGAAACCGCTTATCCAAATTAAACAAATTTGGTATCATATGAAAGAGGACTGAAATAGCTTTTAAACAGAAATAACGAATGAATGTTACCACCTCTATTTATATTTTTTTATAACTTAATACCAAAGAAATTCATGTAAATACATACCTGACCCAATGATTGTTCTATGGTAATTAATTCACATTTTTTATTGAAATATTTTTCAGTGTATGGCTTTCCTCTTTTAGGCATTTCAGTTTTACAGCTATTTCAGTCCTCTTTCATATGATACCGGTTTTTTATTATCCGGAAAGTACTTTTATTTCGGAATAAAAAATATTTGGCCAAGTTTAACTCGTAAAAAAAATAACTTTAATTTTCGGTCCCTTCAATATTCGCATTCGCAAAAGATCCGCATTAATTTTTGCGAATGCAAATGCGGAAGCGGAAGCTCCGCGGTTGCGAATGCGAATGCGAATGCGAATATTCGCAACAACCCTGGTATGTATGTATGTATTTTTGTGATCGTTTATTTATATGTATATATGTACATACTTATATATGTACTTATACAATATTTATATATGTATTTATAAAGAAAGGATTTTTAGAGCACTTTCTTTATTTAAGAGCATAACCAGAGGCTGAAGGATAACTTCTAAATACAATTATAAATATGTATGTAAACATAAAATATTTACTGATTGCTCAGGGGATTCGCAAAAATGGTAACAATGAAACAATAATATTAAGAGTTCCACAAAATTAGTATACATAATCATAAACCCAGCAACGTACATACCTATCTAACATAAAATTCATACATACATATTTTTAAGTGATGTACTCATCCGTTTGACATGCTTAAACTAATGTTGACTCTATTCCTTTAAAACGTCGGGCTTCGATCGGAAAAACAAAAGATAAGTGCACCATTTTTTTAAGGTATGACTACATATGTGTTGAGTAGTGTCCTTTAGATCAGGAATCGCAAATGTATCTATGAAAATTTACCCACATTTCTGCGGTTTTGATTTAAAACTTAGGTCTTCGATAGCGAAAACTTGCGAAAACAATAACTGATAGTACATTTTTTCATGTTCACAATTTTTTAAGTGTGTGGCATGGTATTTAGTGGTGTCCTTGAGATCAGCAATTTCAAATGTATCTATGAAAATTGAACCAAATTTTTGCGGTTTTGCTTTAAAACTTAGAAATTCGCGAAGACAACAGCTGGTAGTAAATTTATTTATGTTCACAATTTTTTAAGTGTGTGGCATAGTATTGAAAGGTGTCCTTGAGATCAGCAATTTCAAATGTATCTATGAAAATTTACCCATAACCGATAACTGAACAGTTACCCAAAAACATATTTCGTAAATATTTCCAAGATGAATCTTTGGACATTTTTTAAATGTTATTTTCGAGTCCAGCGCCCCAAAATAAGTTTAAAAAAGAAACATCTTTTTATTTTGTATTTTGTTCCTCTTTAAGTTTATTAATGTGCGCATGTATGTACATGCGCACTCTTAAATCATACTTATTTCCCTCAGCTCTTTGCACATCACGCCAAGGAGAGTTGAAGTTTGCGCGCGTCAGACATGTTGTTAAGTATGAGTATGATAGATACCTCTTGTTTAAGGGTGGATATGACGTTCGGGGGCATTTCAGTAAATATGAATGCATATAAGTAGAACAAATTATGGATGGTGAGTGGGATATATTCAGTTTGATCATACTCGCTGCGCTTCTCTGAATCGTATTCATATGGAGGGCAACTTGTGCCAATAAATCAATGTCAGTGTGCATATGCGTACATCAGATTGGTGGCGTTTCGCTGATTTAGACGTACTTATATGCAAAAAATGCTGAGTAGCGGGGAACCTCAAAATAGGCACTCTTTGCTGATCACTGATTGCAATATTGTATCAGCTTTCTACCTACCTTTTGTTTATTTCCCACTAACAATGAGTATGCTTTAGAAATATTTATGGAAATAGAGCACATGATTTCCGTCGTTTTAGAGTTGTAGGAGGTAGTGTACGACGAAAAGAACGTATTTATGAAACATCTGGGGTTCAGGGAAATTCCAACTAAATGCAGTTGAAGAGAAAAAAATATACTACCTGCTACAACTCTAAAACGACCGAAATCATGTGCCCTATTCCCATAAATATTTCTAAAGCAAATTAATTATTAGTGGAAAATAAACAAAAGGTAGAAAGATGCTGCAATAAACATATGTATGCTAAAAAGGCTCACACGTAAATTTTTTTTCATCTTAGCAAGGTCGTAGTAAACCAACGCTTAGTTATTACTTGATTATTGCTGTAAAATTTTTGCTAATTCTGTGCTACTATTGGGTAAATAACTATGCACTTAAATAAGTACATGCATATACACACACACACATTCATATCAATACAGACATACGTACATATGTATAGTTGCTTAACACTCCAACCGCAAAATTCGATGCAATTGTCTCGAATCAACTGCCTGCCGAATGGTTGCCTTTCGAGTGTAAAACACAACGGGTAGTAAATGCAATGTTTTCTCTCTACTTACTTCAGCGAAGTGAGTGACATTCACTCTCTTTGTTAACTTGTTGTTCGGTTCGGACACTGTGTTACTGTTGTGTTGATCATGTCTCTGAGCTGTAAGAGAATGTCTTGAAACACAATATGAATCAACCCATGCAGACGTTTAATACATATCTATGCACATACCACTTGCACTACATAGATTCTACTATTTAATTTGATCGCTTGAAATTGGAAACCGACAATTAACAAATGTAAAAAGTGTGGAGGTAGACAGCGTCTACTCTACATTAGAAAATGTATTCAATCTACCGATATATTCACAAATGGACTACATACTAAGTCGTATGCGACAGGCGAGGCCATCACATCCTTATATTATTTATTATTTAGAGTACCTGTTTTCGTTATTTTATAGCCTTATAACAATTATATTCAACAATTTTTATTGAGATTGAAGCCGTTTTTTAATGAAAATCTTATTGTGGAAAAGCAACAATAATTAAAAAAAAATGGTAGAAGTGAAAGCTATTTCGGAAATCACCACATTTCCTCATCAGACTTCTTTCAGTAGGATTCGAACCGACGATCCCACTGACTCAGCCAGTTGCCTACACACTGTGCTAAGTTCGCCTTGTGAATTCTTGTTGCTTTTTTCCACTTTTCATTTGTTAAGCCAACTACAATCAAGCGCAGCTATTCCGCTGCAATTCACACTTGATCATGTGGTTGTTGGTTTTGTTGGTTTTCGTTAATATTTCTATTATTAGAATGTTTAACTTTTAGGCGTGCTCGTCCTTAAGTTATTTATTTTTGTTATTTTATGGCCAATAACAATTATACCCAAAATTTTTTATAGAACTTGAGGCCGTTTTTTAATGAAAATCTTATTGTGGAAAAGCAACAATAATTTGAAAAAATGGTAGAAGTGATAGCTATTTCGGAAATTACCACACTTCCTCATCAGACTTCTTTCGCCTTAAGAATACATATGAATGAATAAATATTTTTCTCAAAAGTTATACTACATCATAACGCATTCAAAACTAAAAGGATCTCTTCTAAACACCCATCCTTGTTTCAAAAAAAAAAATTAATTAAGTAGATATAGCTATGTGCCTTTAAAACTAACCCATTTTCTTTTTAACCGACTTCCAAAAAAGGAGGAGGTTATCAGTTCGTCGGAAATTTTTTTTTTTTTATGTATGTTACCGCATAACTTTGGACCACGTCAACCGATTTCGAATTTCCCGAAATTTTGCATGGGAAAGGTAGTGTCTCAGAAGTGGTCCCATACTAATCTGGTTTAGATCCGATCATTGGATCATGAAATATATATAGATATATATATATTTTTTTAAGTCGGTTTTTTTTTGCTAAAAATTACTCGTCAACTATCAACTGACAAATTCTGCCAAAACATTTCAGCATTTTTATTTATTTTCGAAAATTGAAAAATTGTATACGGCAATCATAGTTGACACTTAAAATAAAATAAAACTGGAGATTAATAGTAAATTAACTAAAAATAAACTCAATATGTAAACCTTGTGCATAATAACTTTGCCTTTTTTTCCTTGTATACAAGCAATATTTATAAAACTTATAATAAATAATTCAAAAAGCCCTATTTGCTTTTGGTTATTCACAAACATACATATCTGTGTTCGTATGGAAAAGTAGCTTAAGTGGAAGGGCTGGCTTTAGTATAATGCGGCATTCCCTTTATTCTTTAAACGACAAGGAATTTTTCGATGAGACTTAACAAGAATATTGACTTGCTAGTATCGGAACTATTTCTTGCACGTTTATTTGCCAAAAGTTGTTCAACGGCTCAGCGCCGGTGAGTAATTCGCAATCATATACTGCGAATGCCGATTTATACTAAAGCCAACCTTTCGACATAAGCTACTTTTCCATAAGAACACAGATATGTTTGTGATCAGCTGATTTTCTTACTTGCAAGTTTTCGCAGCTAGAAATTTTTCCAGAAGAAATTTGCAGAACTCGATGTAATTTTGGGCTCTCAATTTCCCCTATTTTGCAAGGGTAGGAGAACGCAGAAACTGTGGTAGTTTTTTACAATTTTAGATAATTTTGAATACGAGAACCTTGTTATTTCTATAAAAGTAAATATTTTCGAAACTTTTATATAGATATTTTTTTAATTAAAAAACATTTAACTGTGTGTATGGTTTTTTAAATGTTGGTACTTTTTCGGTTTATTTAGAACATTATTTTTGGTCATTTGGTACAAAATTAAAATACTCATTTATCATCCCTGAGCAAAATATCAAAATAATTTTGATTTTAGCGCAATAACTGTGCAATTTAGTACAAATGACCCCATACACCACACAAACGACCGCGCAAGCCCGATATTGCGCAATGTTTTTGTGTGGTTTAGGGGCCCTATAACAGCGGCTTGTGCAAAGAAATGCCTGGTTGTACCAAACCAAACTTATAAATGTCTATATATAAATTTTGAGACTTTAATACTATGTCTCCATTATGAGATTTAATGCAGATTTAGCCCTCTGACGAGATTTAACGTTAAACCTTTTGAGATTTACCATAATATTAAATCTAGAAATGCAGTAGATTTAAGTTAAATCTTCAATAATATTGATCAATAAATACAATTTGTTGGGTGTGGAAACATTTTCGTATTTTTAGGAGTTGTTATATATTGTTTAGTTTTAAAGCCAATTATTATTAACATAACTTTGGTTGTAATAG